AGATATTTTGAATGAAGTCAGCAGTTATTTAGGAATACCAAGTTGAATTATAATGAGCGAGGCACGGCATTTACTCTAAAGGAGCCTAAAAACTATTGTCATGAATATATTATTAATACATTTTGCACTCCTACAGCTAATGTTCAAACTGGACGAATTAAACAACCCTTTAGTACAGACAAATAGCCACTGGTTCTAAAATTATCTTTTTAAATTTAATTATCGTATTTTATATTATTAAATGTAAAATAAATTAAACTTTACACAAGTTTTACAAAAAATACAGCAGTACATACGACGCAGCGATAGTGCTCTAGAGCGACAACTGATTGCATATAGTCGCAGATTTTGACGTCTATAGTCTGTATTGAAGACAACAGCGCCATCTGGCGATATTCACGTTAAACCAAGTGGCTTTGTAATGTAAACCAACAACAAAAACTCACAACTGGTCACCTTTAAAATTAAACCAACATGTATTGGCGGAAAAACAATGGTGGGCGTCAGTTGCGTTGCGTGGTTCCCGATTGTAATATATTTTTAATTAAAAAACTGTGTAAATAAAAATTAAATTAAAACATAAAAATTAAAATTAAATTAAGAGTTCAGAAGTGGGATTGAATATATGCCCTCAAAGCGGAGTGATTAAACGGAAAGTGTGAGTATTTGATGCAAGAAAGTAAAAACGATCGCAATCATACACAATTACTTACGTAGCAGCAGTTGAAGGATTTTTTACAACAACAAGAGTTGTCAACTACCTGCAGCAAAGACAAGCGACATGGTGTTGCAGTTTACAACCGATAATGAGGCGCTACAACGGTCTAGTGAGGAATTGCGAGGTAAAAACGTAGAACTGCGAAAACAAATTAGCGAACTGTGGGAAATGGTTCAACAAGTAGCCATTAGCCAAAAAAACGTTAAAGACAATCAAAACGGTCAGCAGGAATATATGCAAACGCCAGTGGCACCAATAAGCTGATGTAATTTTGTTCGAAATGCACCGGAAAGACTTCGAGACAGTATTTCAGATATGCCTAATATGGACCGTAACGTGCATCTATACGAGAAAACACGGAAGTCTTGCCCGAACTCCAAACGAATGAAGATTCTGTTAGGGCTTCGTAATTTATTGTGTTGAAGCTGTTATGTCTGTATATGCGTAGCCAGAAAAATTGTTCTTCATGCAGTGTATAGCCGTTTAAAGAGTGTAGCGCGTATGTGGGTGGACGTATCACCAAGAATGCATGTCACCTGGAAGGAATATTCAAATGAGCTTGTCACCGAGTTCGGTTGCTAGTATTATGAAGCGGAAATACTCGAAGACAAAAAGAAATTTATTTCTTAGTGAAATTGCTATCACAAAATACGTTCAAGAGAGATTAAAACATCGAGAACTACAAATGACGATTGCTCCAATAAAACGGGTAGATAAATGCTTGTTAGAGCTTTCTACAAAATCTTGTTATAAAACGAATATAAACGATAATTGTTTTCGCGGTGCGAATGAAAGTGGACAAAATCTAAAATTGTTCAATAATGCAAAGACTATTATGTGCTACAATTGTGGTGAGTCAGGCCATGTGTCGACAGATTGTACAAAACCACTAAAACGTCTTTGTTGTGTAGACTGCAATAAGGTGCACCCTAAAAATGAGTGGCAAAATTGCGGAAAATCATCAGCTTTCGATATTAAAATCTTAAGCAAATAATGATTGGTGGTAAGGAAGCCATTGCATTTATTGATACTAGAAACGAATTTAATATAGTCCGGGAAACATTTACCCACGATATAAATGGTACGAGCAGAAAAAGCCACAAAATGGTTTCTATGCGAATAACAATTAAACTACGACAGCTTTGCTATAATGTCCGGCCTCGATATATTTGCCAGATACTTTAGTTCTTCTATTAATTTGGTAGTTTCTGCCAATTGCCTCGTTATATCGCTAGAGTGTTTCTCTAAAACAGTTCCGTTGGCTAACGGAGTTGATGCAGCTGTACAGTCAGTCATGTTCCATTTCTTCTGCAATTCCTCGACTTACTTGTTTTGATGTATGAGAATTGCATCTGTAGCATCATTTTTTTTAAATTGCATATCTAAATAGAAAACATATTTATTCAACCCAGTTATAGTATCTTGCATACCTTTCTTTCTGAACACGCCAATAACATATCGTCTACGTAGAGCCCAACTATCTTCACGTATTCCCCTTGCTTCTTTATGTAAACGCAATTGTCTCAATCACAACGTTTAAGCCGAATTTTGAGTAGAATTTTCGTTACTTTTTATTCCACTCACGACCAGCTTGTTTGCCCGAAAAGTAAGTCTTAGGATAGCTTCCTTAAGAGTGAATTTTCCTCGAAGTGGACTCTACTCTTAATAGCCACTCACATCCGAAAATTCGAAAATGTCCCACAGAACTTTTTCATTCAATTCTTATTTCATACAGTGTAACACAGCTTCGTCCAATTTCATTCTCATGTCGGGCATTATTCTTGAATAGTCGGGTTTGTATAATTTCTTTTGAGTCGCTAGGTTCCAGTGTTTTGGATAAGTTTGTTTGCAAGTGGGTTTTGGTGGTTCCTGAGTTTGATTTTGTACTTTTGTGTGTTGCTGTCAATTTCATCTGTGACTGTGTTAATTCGAAGATCTCTATGAATATTCGCGTTTTTTATATACCAGGAGGTATATAAAATATACCTACATTACTGAAGGATTTTTGATTGAGTTCTTTGGAGTTTTTCAATGTTTGATGGAGAAGCAGAGCTCCAGAGTTCAATTCCTTAGGTCCATATGGGTTTTATCATTGTATTGTAAAGTTGCACTTTATGGGTGAGATTAAGTTTAGAACTTTTGTTTATCAGCCTGTAACAGTAAAAAAGCAACTCTGAGTAATATTGAGCTGAATGCAGCCCTGTGAGGCAGCATGAAAGGTGAATGACAGTTGATACGAAGCAGGGGAGACAGAAAAAACGGAAATGACACACAAATGTAAAACCCTCACGTTGCGCGTAATATAATATAAAATAAATGAATAACGAAGTGATTGTAACGAATATAATAAAATTATTTGTCAATAAAATATTTTTCGGTATTTACATAACCGATTACATTTGCGGAAAAAGGCAAAGTGAGTAAATTAATGATGGGTCGCAGAAATAATAAATCGTCATGTGAGACTCCAGTGTCGTCAAGATGTCAAGATCAGACATCAATGCAAGATGTGTTAAAAGCCATACAAGCTCTACAACAAACAGTGAATGCAGTTCGAGCTGAAACAGTTTCGAATCGGGAAGACATAAGTAATTTGCGTGGACAACTTGCCAACGATAAGTCGGTAACGCAAGAAAAGAAAGATGAAATAAGTAAGATAGATCAAGGTGAAGACGAACGGTGCACTGCTGAAGTCGTATGTTCAGGAGGCGAAGGCATCCGACTTTATGATTTGCCAAAATTCAACGGTAACGCCGAACAGTGGTCACTTTTTCGTGCTACTTTTGAGGACACCACCAAAACGTTTAAGTATACCAACAGACATAATTTAATGCGCCTACAGAAATGCCTAATGGATGAAGCCAAGGATGTCCTTCAGTCACTGTTAATATACCCCTCTAATGTGCCTGCAGTTATGGAAGAACTTGCATTTCCTTTTGGCCACCCAGATTTACTAATACGGTCCCAGTTGGACAAGATTCAACAGTTCGAGAGAGTGACGGAAAGGAACGTTGATAGTTTAATTGCCTTATCCTCTCTTGTGCGAAATGCCTAAAATTACAATGCCTTATACTCTCTTGTGCGAAATGCCTAAAATTACAATGCCAGCTAATCAAAATTATACGCGCCGAGTTATGTATGCACAAAACCATAAGATGGAACAAGAAAATCACCTAGAAGTTAAGTGTTTTGAATGCGCAGGCCCTCATCTGGTAGTTACATGTGAAGCGTTTTTGAGTAAAAATGTTCAGCAACGTTGCGTAAAGGTGAAGCAGCTTCGTTGAAGCTTGAAGATATCACAAAGCCGTTGTGGTATTTGCCGCATTTTTTTGTACAGAACCCGCATAAGCCCGACAAACTGAGAATTGTTTTCGATGTCGCCGCCACTGCTGATAAACAATCTCTCAACTCAGCATTGTTGAAGGGACCAGAAAAGGCTAAACCATTAATAGGAATACTTTTTAAACTACGTCAGGGTCGTATTGCTGTTGCTGCAGACATAAAAGAGATGTTTTCTCAGGTTAAAATACGACCAGCCGACCAGAATGCCTAATGATTCTTATGGAGAAGCGGTTGCGAAATGTCACCGATCGAACAATATGTCATGACGTCTATGATCTTCGGAGCAGTATGTTCGCCCTGTTGCGCTGAATTTTTTAAGAACCGTAATGCCGAAAGTTATCGCAGCCAATATCCGGAACCTGTATCTGCCATCAATGAGAACTTTTACGTAGACGATTACGTTGCCAGTTTCGATACAGAAGAGCACGCTCTACTAATTTGTCAGCAAGTGGTGCAAATTAATGCAAACGCCGGCTTTGAACTTCGTAATTTTTCATCAAATTCGTTAAATCTACAGATTGTCATTAATGCAGGTGAAAGTGCAGAGGCCATCTGTTTGAATCGGCAGAGCCAAACTGAGAAAATCTTGGGAATGTATTGGAACGTAACAAATGATTCGTTTCAATTCTTAACAAAATTTCATCGCATAACTAAAGAAGTTATCGAGGGTAAAAGGGTTCCAACAAAGCGAGAACTTTTAGGAATTGTGATGGCTATATTTGATCCATACGGCGTCTTAGCGAATTTTTTAATTATTGCCAAAGTATTATTGCAAGAAACCTGGAAAACCAAATTAAATTGGGACGACTTGTTACCACCTACGTTATCTCAAACATGGTTTCGCTGGTGGGACGAATTTGCCAGAATAGGCAATTTCTTTGTACCAAGATGCTACTCGCCACATCTCAACATTGCCAAAGAGGTCTAAATCAACATATTTATGGATGCTAGTCAAGTTGCATTTGCTGCAGCAGTGTATCTGCGAATTAAACATCAATATGCAGTCGATGTAGTTTTTGTCTGTGGTAAGACTCGCACAGCGCCTAAGAAACTCCTATCCATGCCAAGGTTGGAACTGCAGGCTGCAGTCTTGGCTACTCGATTATCAAAGCTGGTGGTGGACAGACATGACATAAACATAAGCCGTATAGTATTTTGGACTGATTCCAAAACCATTCTTTGTTGGGTAAATTCAAGAAATCGCCGATTCAAACCATTTGTTGGGCATCGTATAGCTGGAATATTGACCTCAACGAAAGAAGATCAATGGAGATGGGTGCCAACTAAGATGAACCCTTCTGACGCTGCAACAAGAGCCAAAGAGGTGCCTAAAATAAACAATGGCAACATTTGGTTAAAAGGGCCAACCTTTTTACGTCAAGAACAAAATAGCTGGCCAAATGCTACATTTTCGTTTTATACTGACACGCCAGAAGAAGAGATTACGACACCGATATTACTACAATATCAGGCCAGTGAAACATTGATAGAATTTAACCGTTTAAGTTCTTTTTTTAGACTTAAACGTTCTGTTGCCTGGTTCCTAAGAGCTGTTCAAATATTTCGTAGAAAACGAGATCCACTATTTATAGAAGAGTGTAATAATTGGCAGTCGTTGCCACCGTTATTACCAAGTGAAATCAATGAAGCCGAAAAATTTATAATGCAACTGGTACAGGAGGATTGTTTTTCGGAGGAAAAGAGTTTACTTAAGCTTCAACAACCTCTTAACAAAAAATGCAAACTATACAAATTAACGCCATACGTAGATAACGAAGAAATTATTCCTGCCAGTGGTCGCCTGGACGAAGCCATATATCTGCCTCTTGAAGCTCGACGCCCTATTATATTGCCGAAACGCCATGTCGTCTCCGAACTAATAATGAAACACTATCATGTTGCCTACAAACATCAAAATCAAGCTACCATTATCAACGCTGTACGCCAAAAGTTCTGGATTATTGGGCCAAGCCACTTTTGAAATCAGTCCAACGCAATTGTATGGAATGCCACCTTGAAGCCGCCAAGCCAGCGCCACCGTTAATGGGTCAGCTCCCAATCGACCGTATAACGCCGTATGTACGACCGTTCTCATACAGAGGTGTTGACCTGTTTGGACCATTACATGTTACTATTGGTCGTCGCCGTGAGAAGCGCTGGGCTGTCACATTCACATGCTTAACAGTACATGCTGTGCATATAGACATCGTCGATAGTTTATCAACTGATGCGTTCCTAGTATGTTTCCGCAGTTTTATTAACCGTCGTGGTACGCCAGTCAGAATGCGTAATGACAATGGCACCAACTTTATTGGGGCACAAAGGGAATTATTTGCTGATAAAAAGTTTCTTGATGTTAATGATATACGTGAGGAAGCCACTCAACTTGGAATTGAATGGATATTCAATTGTCCACAGAATCCCAATGCAGGTGGTTGCTGGGAGTGCCTTTTAAGAATGATCAAACGTCTATTATTCAAATCATACAGAGAAGAAGCACCGAAGGTGGAGGGGTTAAGGGCAGCACTAATTGAAGCTGAAAATATTATTAACAGCCGACCGCTTACAGACATTCCTTTGACGCACAGCGAGCAGGAGCCACTCACACCAAATCATTTCTTACTAGGCTGTGTCAATAGTACACAGACACGCTATAATGATGCCATACCTATCAGCCTCGGTAAACAGTGGCACATCCTCCAAGATATAAACAGCCGTTTGTGGAAACAGTGGACTACGGAGCTCTTGCCTCAACTTTTTCGACGCCCTAAATGGTGTAAGGAGGTGGTGCCGCTCAGGGTTGGGGATTTTGTGATCGTTTGTGACAATCTGCTACCAAGAGGTCAATGGCTCAAGGGTCAAATTGTTGAAGTGTTTCCTTCGAAGACCGGTCAGGTTAGATCAGCCCGCGTACAGACCAAGAATGGTATCCTAACTCGTCCAGTCACCAAGCTAGCCGCTTCTCAGATTAGTGAATCTTGCGAAGATTCACGGGAGGGCGGAATGTCATAGTAAAAAAGCAACTCTGAGTAATATTGAGCTGAATGCAGCCCTGCGAGGCAGCATGAAAGGTGAATGACAGTTGATACGAAGCAGGGGAGACAGAAAAAACGGAAATGACACACAAATGTGAAACCCTCACGTTGCGCGTAAAATAATATGGCTGGTCGTCACTATGGCTGAAAATGGTAGTGTCGTCCGCAAATGTTGATGTTGTTGTACAGTCACTGGTTGGCATTTCTGCTGTGAAAATCAGGTACAACAAGGGGCCCAGTACACTACCTTGGGGTACATCGGCCATAATGGAGAAGGCATCGGAGACAAACGAGTTTTGTTTTACAACAAATTTTCTATTTAAGAGGTAGTTTTTGATAACTGAGGATATATTGTATGATAAATGTTTCTCAAGTTTCCAAAACAATCTTTCGTGTCAAACTTTGTTAAAAGCTTGGGTTATGTCTAGAAAGTCGCCTGAACAATACTGCTTCTTCTCAAACGTTTCCTTAACTATTCGTACTATGCGGTGTACTTGTTCTATTGTGTTGTGCTTTTCTCTAAATCCAAATTGGTGGTTAGGTATTATTCTTTTTTTATTTAAATGTAGGGCATCAGCTGTTTTATAAAAACTTTTTTGAATAATTTTGAGATAATTGGGAGTAGACTTATGGATCGATATGAGGTGACTTGAGCGGAGTCCTTTCCGGGCTTGGTGAATTTTGGATAGCTTCCTGTCGTTTGGAAAATATGCAGTCCTTAGAATAGCGTTATAAATGAAAAGTAGCTGGTCTTTGTTGATTTATGGGATCTCTTTCAACATTTTTGCTGTCATTAGGTCGTAGCCTGGGGCTTTTTTGATATTTAAATTTTTGATTTCGTTTTTCAGTGGTTTTTTATTGAGGCAAATTATCATATTGTCGTTTTGTGTGAGAGAAAGCAGAAGGTATAGTTTTTATAATATACAGTTTGGGGTAAATACATATTTAAGGTGGTCTGCAAAAGCAGTACCCTTTTCTGCATCGCTTTTAGCCTAGTTTCCATTTGGGAATCGGAGAGGTGTTCTTTGCATATCGGGTTTTTTCTTGTGTTTGGTGGCTTTCAAAAGAGATTAGTTTGTGGTTTGCGTTGGAGACAAGTGTGAAATAAAATTTTCGTATTCCATGCCATTTTTTCTTTAAGTAATCTCTGGAGTGCTTTCGTTAGATTCTTAAGTTGTCTTTTAATTCGGGGGACCTTTGTTGTTGCCATTGGCGTCGTACTTGTCGTTTCTTCTGTATAAGGGTTGCAATTTCGTTCGATGTGTGGTAGTTTATAGGTTTGTGGGGTGTTGGGACTGGGGTTGATATTCGACCGGCTTGCAGTAGTAGAGCTGTAAAGTACTGCAGGGCCTTGTCTATTTCATTATTTGATTTTAGTGAAATGTCGATGTTAATATGTGAGCTAATTTATTTTTAAAATTTTAGCCAATTGTGTACTGGTTTGTGAGCTTTTCTTCGGATTTTGGATTGACTATTGTTGTATTTTTAATCAGAATAAAAGTCGGTGTGATCAATTTGATCTTTTTAAAATTCTTTGTAACCGCAAAATCAATGACGTCTGGAGTTTTTTCCCGGTCTGAGGACCAGTAGGTGGGTGTGCCAGTGGAAGTTATGTTAAGGTCGAGTTTTGATACCACGCCCCAGAATATATGTTTGGCATTGAAGTCATCGGCCGCTATAAGTTTGGGTCCTATCTTTGTAAAATATTCTTTGAATTGGGGTTCCTTTGTTTTATACCTTGGTGGGCAATAAATTGAGGTTAAAATCAGACCTTTTAGATATTCTTCTAGACATATGCTTGTTGCCTGCATATATTCTGCGTCAAGATTGTGAGTCGGGAAATGTTTAGTGTTACTTTTTATGAGGCCAGCAGATCCGCCTCTTGCTCGTCCACTGGGATGTTTTGTATCGTAGAGTATGTAACTAGGTATCTTAAAGTGGCTTTTTTCGTTAAAATGAGTTTCTGAGGTAGGCATGACGTCAATTTGATGTGATTGTAAATACAATATAAGTTCGTTTTTATGTTGGCTTAAGCCGTTAGCATTCCAGAAGCAAATTTTGATTGCATTCATAGTTTGGATAGGATTGAAAGTAGGATGTTTTGATTTTGAATTATTCCCTGCATCATATTTTGCATAGCGTTCATAAATTGTGTCATATTTTCCATAAACAGTTGGATCATGTTTTCGATATTTGGAGATGGTTTAGTAGAGCTTTTATTTTGGGCGTTGCTTGAGCCAGAGATTACTGACTGGAAGCAGGGACGCAATGCTGGAAACATTCTTTGTTTTTCGGTAGTGTATACTACACATCCTTTATTATTAGCAGTGTGGTTACCTCCACAATTTCCGCATTTTTTGTAGTTGGGTCCCTTTTTATTTGATGTATAGACCGTAATGGTGTGATAGTCACCACATGTAACGCAGATAATGCAGAGTGTGCAATTTTCCCATTGTTGCTTGGCAATGTTTAGATATTTTTGATTAATTGCCAGTTTACCTGTTGCAAGTGGAACGCCAATATCTGATAAGTGAATATCAGGGAGACGAACCCCTGTCTTGGCAAACCCATCTGACCTATAGTTGCCCACAATATCGCTATGACCAAATGAGCCAAATGAGTTGAACGTTAACGCTAGCACGGCAATTTTGAGTAATAATTGATGTGGTTGAGGCGCTTACCAGAGATTTAATAGCTGCCTAGGTATTATAGATTTAAGAAGATTGAATAATTTTCATCAGAGGTTTGATTTCCATGGACCCATTTTACAGTATAATGAATTGCCAGTACTTCTGCCTGCAAAACACGAGTCTAATTCAATCTTTCTGAGAAAATGCCACAGCCGACTCGTTCGTCTATTTTGGAGCCGTCTGTGTAATTATCTGTCATGTTGGGAGAGACTACTCTTTGCAATCTTCCCTACTTGGTATAAGAGATTTGAACCTCCGGTTTAGGTCTGAGTACGAACACTTGTAATCGATTGAAAAGGGGGCTGGTAGATCCTGGTTTAGTATGATCGCGTACCCAATATCAATTCTTAACCGGCAAGAAAGAGCATTGAGTCTGGTTAGTATTTTAGCTTGCCGTTTTACAAGAAGCCGCGATGGCAAACAGTGAAGCAGAGAAAACAGAATCTTCGTAGGTTTGAAGCGTAAAGCTCGAGTGATTTGTAAGGCATATATCCTTGTTTTATCAATAAGTTTTGTGTAACGTGCCTTTTCAGTTGTTTGCCACAAGAAAGTAGCCTCGTTAAGAAGGGTGGGTTCAATGACGGCTGTATAGAGCCATAGTATACAGCAGTAGATCAAGAACCCTCAATAGTACTTTTAGAAGAAAGGAACACAGACTAATTGGCCAATAATCTTTAGCACTGGAGTGTGTCATTCTCTCTGCTTTAGAAATAAATACTATTCTATCGATTCTTCAGCAACTGGGGATATACATAAATCTGAGACAACTATTGTATATGCTGAGAAGCCAGGAAAGGATAACAAATTCGCCCTGTTATGTGACAGCGGGAATAATGCCGTCCAGACCTGGAGATTTATATGATTAGAAGGTTTTAATGGCACACTTCATTTGAGTGTTAGTCACTTGAAAAGTATTAGGATTGACCAACAGAAGTGGCGCGACCTGTGTTGGTGCATGAGTATCGGAAGCCAGGCTCCCTGGAAAGTGAGTGGACTTGTGGGTGAAGTTGAAAATCTTGCGTAATCGACTACACTCAGAAGAAGTTTCTATGTTGCCGAAGAAATTTTTCCAAATTACTCTTTTAGTCCGCCGAATTGCATATTTAAATTCCTTTAGGTTTTCCTTGTATGGTACCCAGTTACTTGTTACTTTGGCTCCTTTAAATAGTTATCTCCAAGATTAGCGGAGATCTGCAATAGTTACATTCCATCATGGAGGTTTGGATTTGCCCCGAAATTCTGAGGGTTTGCAAGTC